AAATGCAATTTCTGGACCTGGATGGCCTTTGGTCAAGTACTAATGCATCTACACTACATAATGTATATAGAGGATATATGACTGCAATGTTGTTGGACCGGTATTACACTTGCTACAGGATTCTGTGACAGCTTGGACTTGTTTCATCACTGATATGTGCGTCAAAATTTCGACGCCACAATTGCATAGTGAATATGTGCGGAAACATGTACACCTTGTTAAACGAGCACATACGCAAACAGAGTAAGATGAGAAATTTTGATGTTTGAGAACTGAGTACGTCCGCCTCACTGATTATAATATTCATTTGACATGCCTTTTAAAATATGACACTCCAAAATGCAAATTCTTTCAACACAGGGTCTTCTCCTTATTATTATCATTTCCAAAAAAAATTCTTTTCTTCTTTTCCTGCCACTCTACTGAAAGACATAAACATACCCTTTGCCTTATCCCTTTGACTTCTGGATCTTGGATTTGCATGCGCGTTCTTCTACAGGCACTTGACCTCTATCTCGTCGTGTTCTTCGTCCCCGACTACAACCATCCTACTAACTCCAAGATGGCTAAGCCCAGCAAGCGCATGGCCAACAAACCATCCTGGCTCCCAACTTGTGTGTATGTCTGGCCCAGAGAGGATCAAATGGATTTGCCTGTTAGCAGTGATCATGAAGAGGACAAGAAAGGCGACCAGATGGGTTGAATAGGAGCTGAATCCAATTTACTTTTGATTTTGGCCGCCGTCCCAAATCGATCCCCAAAGCGCTCAGAACACCAAGACTTCCAACTGAAGAGTACACAGGCCAACCGTTGACTGGATACCGTCTAAACAACTCAAAGAAAATAGCAGAAAAAATGGAACTCTAACTGCCACACTTGGGCGCAGAAGTGCGGCCCTGAATATTTTCAGCACCACGAACCAAAATCCCAAAAAGAAATCTGATCCAAACGAACTCCGACTGGGCTCAAACTTGGCACAGGGGAGGGTTAGGTAGTTTAGAAGGTAACCCAACAAGATCAATTCCAAAAACCCAAGGAAACTCTGGGGATCTGGATTCTTACTGACCGGATAGGGGTTTTCTCAACTTTGCTCAAATTCCCCCAAACTCGTGCTCATGAGAAGTCTGACCAAACCAGTTGGTAGATATGTTCCTCTAAGGTCCTACGTATCCATCCATCCCAATCGGTCTCAATCCTCATAATCTCCAAAACCACCAAAACGCAAAGGGGAAGGGGTTCGGGAAGACAAAAATCCAAATTGATTCAAACCAAAAGAACTCGAGACAAGATCTTGGACAAGAGATTCTACAGGACAAGATTTCTTTATTGCCAAGATCAACAAGGTCTAGTCATACACACAGATGATAGGATTACACAGACTAAGGGACTCAAACTCACATCTGCGGATCTCTATCTGGATTGCGGAATAAAACTAGAGACCGGGAAACCCCAAGGAATGACAACCAGAGATAGGCTAGTTTGGGCAGCCTCCCCTCTTTCTTATAGAGCTATCACACAATTTCATTGCCCTTAGATATTTTTCCTGAACCACTTAACCCTAGTCGCAAAATTGTCCAAGTGGAGATCCGTGAATTCGACGGCCATGAGAACTTGACAAGATAGCTTCGCCTTGATGCAAATTCCCCGATGATGCCACGTGCCGCATCTAACTCCGCTCCCAGGTTTAGAGGCCCAAACCCGGTAAAACCGTCCGCCAGTGGTTTTGAGGCCCAATCCACCAAACTCAGCTGCAGAAGCGTCCGCTACGCCTCTTCCATGATCTCAATGTGTGTCACCGTCGGTCCTCGACCACTGCCTGGTCACGAAGTCCTTTTTCGCCTCTGCTAGACTTAGTCAGCGTCGTCTTGACTTGGTCAGCATAGTCTACTCTTGCTCGTCGATGGTCCCAAGTGTCAGCCACCCACGGCCTGTGTTTTGGCCATTTGGTCTCTCGGGCCAAGCCTCACGTCCATCCTTCGCCGCTCCCAGTCCATCGAGATGATACATCCCAACTTAACCTTCTCCATTGCCATCGAACTTCTCAGTGCTCCACACCTGCACACCACAAAGCCAAGAGACATGTTGGACAACACACTCACAGTGAGGTTAGTCCCAAACTCAACCGAAGCCTGGTCATCTGCTCACAATCAGCCATCATCAATCGATACACATGGGCACATATCAACCATGTGTTCGCACATCAACGCAATAGATCGACAACTCAAACATCTTCTTCCTCCTCATATGAAGGTTCACAGCACCTGCCATGCCACTGAATCAAAATCCTTCCCCATTGCTAACATCTCGTATGATAGACACCGTCTTGTAGCGTGCCACTGACCATCACAACTTCACTTGTCCCTAATGTTGTCATGGTGCCACGGATCCCATTAATAGGATGAACATACTAAAGGAAAAAGGCCCTCTAGGTGTGGTTTCGTAGTAACGGAACCGAAAAGCATCTCTAGGTACGTAAAGATGCTTCTTGAAATAATTTTAGATATGCTTTTACTCTCAAAAGGCATCTAAAACCACTTTTTAAGATGGTATTGAAAGCGTCTCAAAATGGCAAAGCTTTAGATACACTTTAAATGGTAAATAGTATCTAGACATATTACAAAGTGCACCAGACAATGGTTCAACGCCAATTAAAGATTTTTTTTGACGTGGTACTAAAAATGTTTCAAAATGAGATGAAGCTAGATATGCTTTAAATCATTATTAGCATTTAGATACATCACAAAGCGTATCAAACGACTATGCGTAGCCATAAAAGATGTTTTTTCATGCAATACCAAAAAAAATCTCAAATTTAAAGGAAATTTAACATGCTTTGGACAACCCGTAGCTTGTAGGCACATTGTAAAGTGTATCAAACCACCATCTATGGCCTTCTAAAGATGAATTTTAATGTGACATTAAATATCCGTCAAAGTGACACGAAACTAAACACGCTATCCTCCATTTGTAGCTTGAACCAAAGGCATGTAAATATGCCTTTGAAAACACCTCAAAATGGCACACAAATCAGAAAAGGCCCTTGATTATTAGTAGCACTATAAGGTTATAGATCCTATAAGCCACTACAACAATGTTGACATGTTAAAATCCATAATAGATGTCATTTTGTACATGTGTGTCATAGTATAAAAAGACCAAAGATCTAAAAACTTTCATTCTAAAACTTCTTTCCAAACTATTTGGGGTGGAGTATCTACCAATATTCAGAGCTTTTTGTTTTAAGTTTTAACGCACTTTATTGCTACATTGAAAAACTATACTCACGGGCATATAAATATGATGTACTTCGCATTGTATGTTTCATGATGTATTTTTACTGTTCACTCGGTACCTATGAGATATTCCAAGCTAGATTTTGATGTCGTTTGCTGATATCTATGGGATCTTCCATAGTATAAGTAAAATGTTCTCACTATGCATGAATTTTTTTCCATTTTCCAATATTAGACATGAATATTATGGAATACCATTCCCGTGAACCTATAATTTTATTTTTAAAAAATATAATCATATTGTCGTCAATCTAGAACATCTTTACTGTGAAGGCGGGACACTGTTTTCTGAACTTACACAGCCGTGGGTCTCAAAATTTTATCCATGTGGGGTCTTAAAATTTTATATACAATAATATCTAGATCTATCCATGTCAAAATTTTCTAACTAGATAAATTTATCATCAAAATCAACAAACTAGTGCTGAATGAACAGTAGGGGTGGTTCACCTATAGTAAGAGGAGAGTTTTCTTGCACTCTGCATCATCCATGCCACACCTGGATATGGGCCGTGTGCGATTAATGGCAACTTCCTATGACCAACTCATGAATCTTCTTATACCCCCCAAGTGGTGTCTTAAAGGTGTCGAGCGCACTAAAGGAGCCACCATTGCTAGCGAAATGGAGTTAGACAAAGCTACCTAGAACTTCATGCATCCCAAAAGGACCAACCAGATCATGCAATCAATGTTTGTGGGCACCATAGGTGCAATAATCTTCTTGAACATTCTCTTGGTGCCTCTCATGCATAGCACGGGCGACATAGGCAACATCTATGTGTTGGACTCTATCCTAGAAAGATGGCATCTACTGGAAGACTTGGATGGAAAATTTGAGATCTTGATCCTAGATCAACCACATAGAGATTATGGAAACACATATGGGAGGGCATAATGATTTCTGCCGATGGCTTTGGGTGAGCAGAAGGAACACTGGGGCTTATTTATAACCTAAGGCAGCTGGTAGGAAGATTTGATTGTGAAAACATGGTTCTATCGGCGTAGGTGGATCTGGTGGATGGAATCACTCCCCATCGATTTGCATTTCCTGGGGTAGAGTAACTTGTACCTGAACAAATATAAATTCAGGTCCGAGTGCAACCCATCTGATCTACTGTGCATGATTCAATGGATTACCTGTCCGAGCCCAAAAACACTGCACCAGGGGTTGTTCTCTTTAAGGCAACCACCTCTAGAAATGGATTTTTTAGGGAACTCTAGAAATGGATTTCCAAGGGCTGTTGAAAGCCCGACACTATCAAGGCCTCATCTTTACAATTGATGACATAGTGTCAGTTTTGAAAACAGCCCATGAAAACCATTTTTGACTGACTCTAAAATCGTTCCACGGTAGTGAATGGATAATAAAGATCCTGTAACATTCGTGCGTAGGACCAATTTATAAAGTAGTAGCAGCAAACGAGTCATAGTTGTGTTTTTTTATTTGTGTAGAAGTTGAACAGAAGTGTATTTACTCTTCATACTTATGGATAAACAAGAATTTCTTTACACGACACACCACACAAATCAAGTTACAATGCCATAGGACAGACACAAAATCAAAAAAGATAAGACATCCATGCGCTTGGTACAATTTAGATCTGTGGTGTATTTTGCACTAAAACCTTCAAAGTATTTTCACATTAACTCACGTGATAAGAATAGGACCACCAAAAGTTGTTATACTGTTTAGTTTCACTGCAATTTTCAATTTTCAAATGGAATTGGAACATCATAAGGCGTCGCCACAAGGTGTAGTTGGTTGCGCCGCTTGGCTGTTGCACCAACTGTTATGTCCATGTCGAGCTCCTCCGGAAGCATTTTGCCTGGTAGGCTCCAATCGAAGTAGTAGAGGAGCCGTGCCACGATGAGCTCCAGTACGGCCACCCCGAAGCTCAAGACGGGACACATCCTTCTCCCACTACCGAATGGCAAGTAATGAAATTCTGAACCTTTGTAGTCACAGGTAGTGTTCTCGAATCTTGTTGGCCTAAACTCCTCAGGATTGTCCCAATACTTTGGGTTCCTTGCCGTTGCCCATGCATTGATTCCCACCATAGAACCTTTGCTGACCTCATACCCACCGATGTCACAGGTCTTCCGGCATAGATGTGGTACGAGGAGGGGTAGAATTGGGTGAAGCCGCAGTGTCTCCATGATCACCATCCTTGTGCAGTGTAGCCTGTCTATATGAGACTAGTGATGACGTGGGATTATGTTGTGAAAGGCTTCATGCATCTCTGGCAGCGGTTGTGGCGTGGATCTCTGCAACTAGGGACATGGTCTCGCTGTCCCTGATCGGCGCCAGCTGCCTGACCACTAGTAGAGAAACGACTTTTGATCCACTTTGAAATTTGGCTTTAGTTTTGGTATTTTTCGCGTCCGGGACTAGAGAAACCTTTAGTCCCGGTTGGTAGCTCCAACCGGGACTAAAGGTCCCTGCCCAATGGCTATTGTGGCAGACTTTTGCTGCAGGGAACCTTTACTCCCGGTTGGAGCTACCAACCGGGACTAAAGGTTAACTTTTACTCCCGGTTGGTCCCTCCAATCGGGAGTAAAAGTCTACTCCCGGCTGGAGGCTCCGTCCGGGAATAGAAAGGGACCTTTAGACCCTGTTGCTGTCTCCAACCAGGACTAAAGGTTTCCTCCTATATACCCCTTCTTCCTCCCCGAGGTCGAGCCACTTCGAGCAAAGTATTCTTGCTTCACCTTCGGCCTCTTTTCTTCCTCGTCGCCGGTAATCACAAGATTTCTTCGATTCCTCCATCGATTCTTCGGTTCTAAAGGTTACCAACTTTATACTCTCATGTTTCATCAGTAGCATATCTCATTTTGTGGACTAGATATATGTGGTTTTTTATGGTGGATTTTTTTTTATTTGAATCCATTTAAGCTCAAAATCACTTTAAAGTTTGCATATTTGGATGAAGGAAGGTTAAAGTAGTTATTCAAAACTAGTATTCAGCTTTCATTTCTAGCATGCATAGCACACTTCATGGTTTAGAGATATAGAGAATTTTAGAGTTTTTTTAATTTTATTTGTTTATAAAATGAGAAATTTATATTATATTAAAAATGAGTATAGAGAGTAGATGGCAACTGCTTCTAGGTCCTCGGCCTCTCATCGGGTTCCAAAGCGACTAAGGCCGGACCCCCCCCCCTCTCATTGCTTGCGGCAAGTGTGAGGAGAAGATTGTGATGGAGTACCGAGTGAGGAAGGAGTGTCCCAACAAGGGCCGTATGTTCTACAAGTGTCCGGATCACAATATGAGTTATTTTGTCGCATTTGATGATTATGGTTAATTTATACTTATTTTCATGATGATTGTGATTAAAGTTCTAATTTTTTGTTTTAATTTCAGTGGGATGGCACTGGATGTCCAGGCTGGTACTAGGAAGAAGAGTATGTTGAACACGTGCAAAACTCTCTTGCATAGGCGGCTATGGCGGCTGATGAGGCAGTGATCCTGTAGAAGAAGCACATAGATGTTGAACAAACGCATGATCTGTCTGTTTTAGTTGGCATTGGTCGTGAAATCCTTATATTGCTAAAGTGCATTTTAGCTTTAGTTTTTATAGTGGTAGTTGGGATTGTCTACATTGTAGCGAGACTTTCATAAATTAATACCTTTTGTGATGGCATGCATGTCATATAATTAACTAATTATGTTCTAGGTTTTAATATGGTATGTATGTCATGTAATGCAGATCAGCCAGCATTGGATGTACAATGCTGATCGCCGCTCCCAAGAGTTCATCGAGGGCGTGCATTCTTTCTTACGTGTGGACGAGGCAAACAAATACGATGGTTTCATGTGTTGCCCATGTGCCATATGTACGAATTTGAAGGAATATGCTAGCTCAAGGAGTGTTCATTCACACTTTGTTGAAGTCGGGTTTCATTCAAAACTATATTTGTTGGACAAAGCACGGAGAAACCGGGGTTGTAATGGAAGAAGGTGAAGAAGAACAATGGGACGATGATGACATTATTGCTGAATATGGTGCCTTCAATGATACTGCAATGGGGAAAGCTGAAGAAGAGGTAGGGGCAGAAGATGAGCCCGCTGATGATCTTGGTCAGGCCATTCGTGACGCACAAAGAGAATGCGAAAATAAAAAGGAGAAGATCAAGTTCGAGCGCATGCTAGAGGATCACAAGAAATTGCTATACCCAACTTGTGATGTGGGGTAGAAAAAGTTGGGTACCACACTGGAATTGCTGCAATGGAAGGCAAAGAATGGTGTATCTTACAAGGGATTTGGGGAGTTACTAAAACTCTAAAAGAAGATGCTTCTAAAGGATAACAAATTGCCCGCCACTACGTATGAAGTAAAACATGTAGTCTGCCCTTTAGGATTAGAAATCCAGAAGATACATGCATGTCCTAATGACTACATCCTCTACCGTGGCGAGGAGTATGAGAAGTTATATGCATGCCCGGTATGTTATGCATCATGGTATAAGATCAGGCGAGATGACCTTAGTGATGTTGTGGGTGAACGTCCCACGCAGAAAATCCCTGCCAAGATTATGTGGTATGCTCCTATAATACCACGCTTGAAACATCTGTTCAGAAACAAAGACCGTGCAAAGTTGTTGCGATGGCACAAAGAAGATCGTTAGGTAGACAATATGTTGAGACACCCTGCTGATGGGTCATAGTGGAGAGCAATCGATAGAGAATTCCCGAGTTTGCAAATGACGCAAGAAACTTAAGGTTTGCTTTAAGTACGGATGGTATGAATCCTTTCGGAGAGCGTAGCGATAGAGTCATAGCACTTGGTCTCATTACTCTATGTATCTACAACCTTCCTCCCCGGTTATGCATGAAGCGTAAGTTGATTATGATGCCGTTGCTCATCCAAGGCCCAAGGTAACCCGGCAACGACATCAATGTGTACCGAGGCCACTAGTTGAAGAACTTCTACTTTTGTGGAATGCACAGTGTACGTGTGTGGGGATGAGCACAAACAGGAGCACTTTTGACTGCGAGCATTGTTGTTCAGTAATAATCAATGATTGGCCTGCTCTAAGTAATCTTTCAGACAATCAAACAAGGGATATAATGCATGCACACACTATTTCGATGACATTAAAGGTATATTCTTGAAAAAATGTCGAAAGGTCGTGTACCTTGGCCATCGTTGATTTCTTCCTATGAATCAGCCCCTAAGAAAGAAAGGCGAGCATTTTAAAGGTAAGGCGGACTCAAGCCGTGCAACTAAACCGGTGAGGATGTACTCAATATGGTCAAGGATGTGAAAGTTGTATTTGGAAAGGCACATGGCAGCGAACTTTGTTCGAACGACGCCGAGGGTCACGCACCCATGTGGAAGAAGTTCATATTTTGGGAGCTACCCTATTGGCAAGTCCTAGAGGTCCATAGCGCGATCAATGTGATGCACCTGACGAAGAATCTTTGTGTGAACCTGCTAGGCTTCATGGGTGTGTATGGGAAGCCTAAGGACACACTTGAAGCACGACAGGACCTACGGCATTTGAAAGAACGAGACAACCTGCATCTAGAGAAGATAGATGATGCACGCCATTACTTAAGTCCTGCCAGCTACACTCTTAGCAAAGAAGAGAAGGAAAGCTTGTTTGAATGCCTAGCAAGCATCAAGGTACCTTCTGGATTCTCCTCGAATATAAAGGGTATAATAAATGTGCTAGAGAAGAAATTCCTAAACTTAAAGTCCCATGACTACCACGTGCTCATGACGCAATTGCTTCTAGTTGCATTAAGAGGAATTCTACCTCCAAATGTACGTCTAGCCACCGTAAAGCTATGTGCATTCATCAATGCAATTTCTCAGAAGGCAATCGATCCAATGGATCTAGCTAAACTACAGAATGATGTGGTTCAATGTCTTGTCAAATTTGAGTTGGTGTTCCCTCCTTCCTTCTTTAATATCATGACACACCTCCTAGTTCACCTGGTCAAGGAGATTAGCATTCTCGGTGCTGTGTTCCTACACAACATGTTCCCCTTTGAGAGGTTCATGGGAGTCCTAAAGAAATATGTTCACAACCGTGCTCGGCCAGAAGGAAGCATCACCGAGGGCTATGGAATAGAGGAGGTCATTGTTTTGTGTTGACTTTATTCCCGACCTTGACCCGATTGGTGTTCCTAAATCACAACACGAGGGGAGACTAAGTGGAAAGGGGACACTAGGGAAGAAACCATATATTGGTACACAGGACAATCATTTTAATAAAGCACACTACACAGTTCTGCAAAACTCCTCCTTGGTGGATCCGTATATCGAGACACATAAAGAGTTGCTCCGATCCAAGTTTCTAGGGAAGTCTGAAGCTTGGATTACGCGTCAGCACAAGGAAACTTTCAGCGACTGGTTGCGAAAAGAATGTCAGGGTGATGAGAGTATTGATGAGCAACTGTATTTGTTGGCTAGGTAGCCATCGTGGCATATCCTCACATACAAAGGGTACGAGATAAATGGGAATACATTTTACACAGTAGGCCATGGTAAAAGGAGCAACAACCAAAATAGTGGTGTCCGCATAGATGCCACCGACCCTAATGGAAATAAGCAAACATATTATGGCCGCATAGAGGAGATATGAGAACTAAACTATGCACCTATTTTTAAGGTACCTTTGTTCAAGTGCCAATAGGTAAAGGCGACTGGAGGCGGGGTAGCAGTCGACAACCAGTATGGAATGACAACCGTGGACCTCAACAATATTGGGTACAAAGACGAACCGTTCGTCCTTGCCAAGGATGTGAATCAGGTGTTCTATGTCAAGGACATGTCTACAAAACCGAAGAGAGGGAAAAACAACAACGACCCAATCAATGAACCAAAGAGCCACATAGTTCTTTCAGGGAAAAGAAACATCGTCGAAATTGAAGACAAGTCAGACATATCAGAAGATTATGAAAAGGATGACCGAATTCCACCCTTCATGGTGAACAAAGACCCAACTATCCAGCTAAATGATGAGGACACTCCATGGTTACGGCGCGATCATAACCAAGGGATGTATGTTAAGAAGAAGTTCACTACCGTGCCCGCTTGATATATATAGTGATGTTTAATAGTTTGTATTAGAGGTATTAGGTAATAATTGTGAATTCAGAGATGTTTATTAGGTGTTTCCTTTTTTTCTATGTTCAGATTAAATTTGTGTTTGATGGTGGGATTTCCATGTCACTTTTGGACAATGAGTGACGAAAAAATGAAAAGATTTATGTTAAAATGATGTGAAAACAAATTTCCAATCGAAAACAAAAGTTTTAATGATTTAAATTAAACACTACATTTTTGCATTAACGAAATAGTAAATATTAATGACATTATGTTTCAATAGTTATAAGAAAAAACAAAAAACTTTAGGTGACACAATTTTTCTGTGTGCAAATAAAGCAAAAGTAAATTCATATTCTTTTAAAACAATTTTATGCCTTGTGTTTTAATTTACTGTGCAATTGACAAGGCTTTAACATTTTATAGAAAGAAATATATAAAAAAACAAATGGAGCTTGAAACTAGCGGGAAGCCAAACTGCAACCCACCTTTACTCCTGGGTGGATCAACCACCAGAGACACAAGATGGGCTGTATTTTCATGGCCCGCCAAAATCCCCTTTACTCCCGGGCCATGGCTACACCCGGGACTAATGGTCAGACCTTTAGTCCCGGTTCTAACTATAACCTAGGACTGTAGGTCCCCCTTTATAAACCATGCCCTTCTCCCTTCTCTAGTTCTCTTCCTCTCTGTCTCCGCCACGCCATCGCCTCATCTTCTCCACCAGATCGATCCGATCCAGCAACGCCGCCGCCCCTAGGCGACCACCCTAGCCTTGCCTTGTCACACACGCACGCTATCACCGGCCCCACACGTATGCGCGCTAGCGCACGCCTCGCTCATCCTCGTCCATCGTTGCCGCAGCTCGCATCGCTCGTCCTTGGCCCACGCGCCTCGCTTGTTCTCGCTGGAGCGCGCGTTGTCCTCGTCCATTGATCTTGATAAGAATTTAATTTGGGATGATATCCTTCAACATTTCAGGTTGCAAGCGGATGATTATGATGATATCAACGATGATGAATTGAAGGAGCTAGTTCGAAAGTGGGCTATGAAGAAGATGGCCAAACAATTCTAGACTTGGAAGAAATCCCTATACACAAAATACGTCAAGAAGAATCTAACGCCCGATTTCAATACTAGGGGCCCGCTCACGAAGTTGAGGCCCTACTGGAATGATTTTGTACAGTACAAGACATCGAAAGAGGGTGAGGAACGGGTGAGAAGGAACAAAGAGAATGCCCGACAGAATGTATACCACCATGGCATGGGATCAGGTGGCTACACGACTGCCATTCCCAAGTGGGAAAAAATGGAAGCGGACATTCTTGCCAAGGGTATCACTCCAGAATCACTTAATTGGGCCAAACACGCGAAAAATTGGTTTTTCGCTCATGGGGAAAGACTGGACCTAGAGACTGGGAAGCTGGTTCATGGCTCAAAACTCGAAAGAGCAACACAAAGATTTTCTTATGCTCTACAAGCTAAAGCTATTGGTGCGTTTAGGCCCAATAGAGAGAAGGATGAACTGACGTATGCCATTGGGACTATTGAACACAGTGACCGAATGAGAGGTTTAGGATGAAACATTTCTTGGGGGCATGATTTCCCTAACGACAGAGATACCTACAGAAGCCGATAGAGAGGGAAGGATGAGGAAGCAACACAGATCAGCAGGTTGGAGGAATATGTTCATGAGTCACGGGAGGCGTTGCTTCAAGCCACGTATAACGAAAAAAGACATGCAAGCTAGAATGCGGGGATGAAATCATAAAGCAAGTGCAAATAGCAATGAGTGCCCAAAGGCAGGCATCAAATCCAGGAATGAACATTAATATTAGCCCCCCTGATCAGTTGAAAAGTAGCTGTGCTTCCACGGAGTTGCCAAATCAAGATGACGCAATGCTACGTTTCCCCATGGATGACATCACTGCACCGTTTACATCATGTGAGCTACATATTCCAAAAGGGAATGCCACAATCATGGTGGCTCTTGGTGTTTTTTCTCCTCCAGATCCTACCAAGACACCAAGAATCCATGGGGCAATAATACCACCTGGATATGTTAGCGTCTCAAAGGATAGAGTTAACAAAGGTTTTAGTAATCTGCTCTCTTGACATTCCAGAGGCGATGGAGAGAAGACTCTAGGAGAAGCGCAGAAGACATTCATACTATGGCGCAAGCGCTACATCATTATTCTCGGGATCTCTAGTCCACCGCCGCTTCCTCAACTGCCAGACAATAGGTGCGGACAAAAGTGAACGAAACAATTTTTTCACTAATTTTCTATTGACATGCATGATTAATAATAACAATTTGTTATACCTAATTATTCTTTTTTGTACTCACACAGCAAGGCCTCCGCCAACCTAAGTCCAATTATTCAATCTCCAGATCATCATAGTGCTCCGGGCAATGATTATGCAACGCCACCACCACCGCCACCTCTAAGGAGGTCTCCAACGCCTCCAAGGAGGTCTCCAAGGCCTGCCCCACCTCCCTTCATGACCAAGAAGCAGCCAGCTCCTAAGAGGTCCGCCCCGCAAATGAAGCCGTTGGCCCACCAGCCGGCAAAGAAGAAAGCCTCCTCTAATCCAATTATTCCCCAAAAACTATCTTACGAGAAAAGTGAAAAGGAATTAAATGCTGCAGTACAAAAAGATGTGAATAGTTTCTTCGAAAAAGTAAGAAAGCAACGAAAAGCGAGAGAGAACCCAGAGAAACCGTACTTCTACCTACCTCCAGATCTTCTAAGAAAGAAGGTGGACCAGAAAAAGTGGGAATCTCAAAAGACCCTGCCAAAATCGAACTACGACTGCTCTCTCACCAAGTCATTTGAGGCGGCGCAGAAAAAGACTAGAGTAGGGAAAGGTGTTGCACAACTCAAACAACAATCGCAACAATCAGTCCCCCCTCTTGTCATTCGTAATGAATATGGTTCAAACTTAGACTTACTGGATGTCGATTTTAAGGACCTGGTTCAGTTTCATGAGGATACTGGTTTGGACCTTGCCCAAGTGCTCGCTGAAGGACCATCTGCTCCGAAAGTGGATCCTTGGAAGAAATTTGAACTTGGAAAGAGTCTATATAACCCTGAGGCCTTAGGTGAACTGGGTACGCAAATATACTTGCTAAATAAGTGGTACATGGCGGCGTGTGAACGGGGAGAGACCATCGTTTCTGTCAGAGTTAGAAACCAACATTACTTCCGTGGCGATGACGTTATATATGTCGAGTTTTTAGAATTACACTAACTATGCCCCCTGGACTCTCTCGACAAAAGTCTCATTAGCTGCTATTGCCTATAAGTGTGATTATTTTCTAGTATTAAAGTGTATATATATAAAGCTACATGTATATATATAAATTATATATCCTCACACTATATTTTTATATATATGCAGATATGAGATGACAGAACTCAGAAAGAGAAAGGATAATGATGTTGGTTTAATTGATCCAAATGTCGTATTCAAACACCCTACTCCCCCGCCTCAATGGAAAGCTGAACTCGAGAAAAATCTCATGAGGTACTTAGTGAACAAACAAAACAAGGACATACTCTTCTCCTACAACTTCAAGTGAGTGTTAAATAATTAATGTCGATCATATGGACATTTGTTCAATTATTTGCTTACTAGCTAAGCTATCTCCCATATATATATGTTGACACTAGTTAATGTCGATCATATTTGTGTATAACAACATATGCAGCAATCACTGGATATTGATAGTCATCTATATGGCTAATAGTCGGTTGAGCATCTTGGACTCGTTAAGAAAAGAGCAAACAGAGTACCAAGACATGATAGATATTATTCAAGGGTAATTTGGTCTATCTAGCAACTATATATACCCCGATCTCTTAACTGCAACAATTATTAAAGGCCAAATTAATTTTTTATTTTATTAGGCGCAGTGTTTGAAAAAGTTTCATTGAGGAACACCACATGAAACATTGCAAAGCGCCACTGAATGTAATCACACACAAAGTAAGTACTAGCTACATTTATATATATATAATTCAATTAACACCATGCATGCTTTCAATTCACCGGATCTTTTTTCTCGTAAAAGTGGGTTCTGAGGCAAGAACAAGGGACCAACTACTGCTGATACTATATTTACGAGTTCATCATGGCGTACTCAAAAAGAACTCCTGAAGAGATCCTCAAAGTACGTTATATAAATATATTCATATATTCACAGTTTCTTTTATTGCTAATATATATAAGTAATCACGTGACCAACACACACACATATATATATATATATATATTAATACTTTTCCTTTAACTTTTATTGAAGACTCTATGATTGAAGGAAAAAGTCATACGACGTGACCAACTGAAAGCAATTCAAGAGACCATAGTAGGATTTTTTAATGACCAGGTCTTAAACCCCGCCGGTGAGTTCTACAATGACATAAACGAGACATGGAAGCCAAACCAGATAGAGTGAATTTGTTATCCCAATGATATGATAGAATATACAATGCAAGCTTTATTTGTAATATATATATATACATATTATATGTACATAAAATAACATACAATATATGTATATGCATATAATATATACGTTAGTTTTATACTTTAATTTGTACAAAATGTTCGAACATTATAAACGTGTAGAATACGTATATTATTAGCAGTGTAGAATGCGTATTCGAAAACCTATTCGAAAATCAAAATGAATCATCAATTAAAAATAGAAAAAAAGGAACCTTTAGTTCTGGTTGGTAATACCAACCGGGACTAAAGGGCCGGTCCACGTGGCCAGGCTAGGAGGCCTCTTTAGCCCCGGTTGGTATTACCAACCCGGGCGAGAAACCGGCACTAAAAGAGAGGTCCTTTAGTTCTGGATTCGTGCTCCCGGTTGGAAAACCGGAACTGAAAGGGTTTTCCAACCGGAAGTGACCTTGTGCTTGTGCTTGCTGAGGAGCTGGAGCACGCAGAGCTTGCGCAGGGCCCACCAGTAGTCGCCGTAGGGCGAGAAGGCAAAGTCGAGGGTGCCATAGCCGATGATCTCCGCGGCGATCAGGGCCTGGCGCGACGCGAAGTTGACGTCGTTGCTTTGGAGAACCTGCTGCGCTGCGGCCCGCGAGGAGACCACGACAGTGTCGTTCTGTCCCAGCCGCAGGTACATCACCGGCCCGTGCTTCTCGGCGAGGTCCCGGAGAGCGGCCTGTGGCTGCGAGGTCACCATGTGATGGATGCTGCCGACGAAGGGGATGGCCCATGGCCCCGGTGGCCACCTCTTCTTGGTGTTGGCTCTCGAACTGTGCCGGAAGGATGATACAAGGATGAGCAGTGAAGAAAGAAACAGGAAGATAAGGGCGAGTCTGCATATCTCCATGGATGCTTAAGGTACTCAGCAAACGAGATGACTTTTACTTATAGAGGAGTATTAGTTATTTTGTACTTAGATACCTACTCCACTAGATGCAGTGCAACTGTCCAGGAGCAGTTTCTGAACTTTACGAAAAGTTGATTACAGAAATTAACCATTTGTTATCTTAGGCTGTCTCTGGTCTACAAACTGTTGTCGTCCAACCAAGAAGGAAAAGAGGGAGAGGAATGTAAAGCCTGGTTTGCTCTCTATATAAGTTTTTATCAAAATGTTACGCTTCATCAGGACTTTGTATAGAAGAGAGTCCCATATTATTGTAATTTTTATCATTATTCAGATAATAAAATGTAGCTCCCCAAATTTGTACATTTTTTGTTTTACTTTTATCTACTATTGTATAGTAAGAGAAGGAGAGATAAACAAGGTCCTAACCACTGGCAATATATTTCACAATGCATCATTAGCACACTAGTCCATCAATCCGTGATCTCGCATGGGCTAGAACCAACATCAGTTACATAAAAAATAGAGTGAAATACACTGACGGCCCTTTAACTTGTCGGCTTGTGCCAGTCCGGTGCACGAACTTACAAACGCGGAAAATAGGCCCCATAACTTGTCAAGTTGTTCACCGCAGGCTCATTTCCCATCCGATGCGGCCTCCAGGCGACGTGGCGATGCCGCTGTGGCGACGGACGAAAAGCACGTGAACCAGCTGCTACACCTGTCCCTGCTCCTCACCGTGTGGGGGCTCCCCGTCCACTTCACGGCGCCGGAGCCGCACTTCCAGGAGGCCGCGCTGGACGTGCCCGCACACGAGTCCCCAGCCCCGGACCCGCGCTCCCCTTTCCCGACGTACATGCAGCCGCTCTTCGAGGCCTACTACGCCGGCGCGCGGGCCCCGTTGGCCATGCTCCTGGCGGAGCTCGCCGCAACCCTCGGCGTGCACTGCCTCCCCGCCTCCTACAACGTCGGGTGGGCGGACCGGGAGCATGCCTGCTGCGCCGCCACGGCCTCATGTTCCACTCCGCCGACTCGCGCCACCGCGAGTTTCGTCGCGCGCCCAGCGGATGGGGCAAGAGCGCCAGTGTCGCCCGGCGCCGCAGCATGGTCGCCAACACCGCCACAGACGCGCGCGGGTGACTTCCTCGACGCGCCCCAGGGGATCCCATCTTTCGACGGTCGCAGTCTGTTCGCCGTTGGGCCTCTCAGCCCGGTGCTCCTCCCAGGTGCCGGCGCGAGCGATGGGGATCGCAACGGAGCTCGCGGCGGCATGAGTGCTCGGATCGGCAGACGTGCAGCCCGTCGTCGCCGCTTAGCGCCTAAGAGCAGGTCTGCGAAGCTGGCCGCCGCCGTCTTTGTGGGACAATGGGCGTGCTTCGTGTGGTCTTGGGTGACGCCGACCACGCGGACTGCGCGGTGGCGGGAAGGGATGCCATGGCGAGACCCTCCATGCCGCCGCCAAGGCGTCCGAAGCTCGCCTCGACGACTCCCATGCTTTGGCGTGGTCACCGGTGGGCGCCGCAATGGAGATCTCGGGCGCACGGCGCGCGACGACGACGCGTTCATGAGCTATCGTGGTCGGAACTCCATCGTGGAGAGCTCTCGGCCATGGGAAGCCCATCTGGTTCGCCCATGCACAAATGACCAGCCACAGGACACCGAGCTCATCTGCAGTACCCGCGCCACCGCGTGCTGCGTGGCGCCCTTGGGAGCTGGTGGGCGAAAGCACGCGCAGCGACATCGCAGCGAGGAGCACGGCAGCGAAAGCACATGGCTGAGTGTGGCGGCACCTGCGGGCGAGCGCGGCGGCTCCAGCAAGCGCACGCGGTAGCAAGCACACGAAGCGCTGCGGCGCCAGCCGCTTAAGCGGGCGAGCGCCGTGCCGCGGAGGAGCACACACCGTGCCGGCGGGCGAGCATGGCGGCAGAGGCGGGCCAGCGCGGCGGCTCCGGCAAGCGCGCGCGTGGCGCGCGAGAACGCGCGAGCCAGCGCCCAATGGGCGAAGCGCCGCGTGCCGTGGAGTAGCACACACGGCCGTGCGGCGGCGAAGCGTATACCCCCCGCGCGGCGACGCGGCGGTTCCGGCAAGCGCATGCGGCAACGAGCACACGGAGCCAGCGGGCGAAAGCACGATATCATGCCGAAGAAGCCGCGCGTGTCTTGGTAAGCGAAGCGCGCGCGCGCACGACGGCGTGGCGAGCGGGGGGCTTGCGCCGACCGCAAGCGAGCGTGGCAGCCCATTGAAACGTCAAGGCTCACGTGCTTCGTCTCCGCCACGCCGGCACTACCACATAGCCTAGAGGCAGCTACGGATGGGAAATGAACTCATGTGAACAACTTGACAGGTTCAGAGTCTATTTTTCGTGTTTGCAAGTTCATGGACGGTTTTGGCACAGCCGACAAGTTAAAGGGCCGCCATGTTTTTCACTCTAAAAAATACTTAATAAATTGCATATTTTTCTTTGTTTATTTTTAGTACAATACGTATATTTTCTGATAAACTTATGAATTGTGCTGAACTAAATGTTTTCATCCATATCGATAGTTTGTTCCTTTTGCATGTCATCTATGTGAATCTTTAGGGCTCATTCGATACAGCTCCTCCTCAAGTGCTCCTCCCGAGGAGCCACTTGTTGGGGGCAAAGCCTTGCGCTTGGCTCTCTAACAAAGTAACCAATCTTACGGGATGTTTGAGCAGGTACCGTGGCGAAGAGTTAGCCGAGGGTGGAGAGCTGCTGTGGGTGGTGAAGCAAAGGCCAGCTGAGCACCAAGAGCGGAGAAGCGAAGGCCAGCTGAGCACCAAGAGTGGAGAAGCGAAGGCCTGCTCGAGAAGCCCATGAGGAGGGAGCCTTCGCTGATATTCTCCAGTCTTCGGCTCTCTGATGGAGTGTGGCGGCGAACAGGGCCTTCGATCAGAAAGAGTCAAGCGAAGGCGATTGAAGGGAATGCAACGCTGACGTCCTAGCGGCGGCGGGAGTCAGACGGCATGGCGCGCGGCCCGGCTCGATTAAGGCCCATCAAGAGAGGCTTTTCAAGTTGGAAAAGACACCAAAGACCGGAAGGGGATCACTCTCGGGTAGGAATATCCTGGAATATGCCTTAGCTAGCCTAAGGGCAATTGTGTACATGAGAATTATGAATAGAGAGTGATTTTCTGGCTCAAAACCCTAGACGTTGCCTCGGCACCTGTGTGCCCCTTCATGCCGAAAGCTGCCGCTCTGCAGTGAGCCTTCGGAGTTCAAGGGGAGAGCTGCAACTCTCTCTCTCTCTCCTACCTTGTCGTGTCCCTCGAATCCCAACACCAATTTTTTCAGCTTTGGCTCCTAATTCAAAAAATTATTCCTTACTCTTCTGCAATTCACCAGTAAACGTCTCTCAAAAAGTGTTTGATACTTCTCCTCCTTAGAATCTCATGCTGGAACTGGAGCCATGCCAAACAGGCATTTAATATACATTTAATTGAGACATTGGCTTAAACTATAGTGACTGTAGTTGCAGCCCATTTCTTATATGACATAGTTAATCTATTTTCTTTATTTTAAATTTGAATCTTCTTAATTTATATAAATTTTTTATTCTGAAAAAAAGTTGAAACTCTCGTGCTTATAAAATCTATTACGAACTCTCCTTTTGTACTTTATAAAATAAGACTTTGACATCATAGGTTACACCCTCAATTTAAAAACAATGATGGCATAAATAATCATATATAACCAGTGAAAGTGTACAACCTCTGCAGAGTGTAAAACTATTATAACAGCCGTGCTCATAATCACGAGCGGCCTTGGAACCCTTACGGAATAGATGATGAACACTAATGATACTGATGATACAGATGCCCACTTATGGTTATTGTTTTTGTTATTCATTATTCATGTTTACCTGATCATGTGTTTATACGGACTTATGATAAATTTGATGCTACTCAGCTGTTTAAAATCATGACTCATTAAAAGCTAATCGCAGTTAAACCAGTATCAGTCTTTTGAGCCTCATGAACCCCATGTTATATTTGTTGAGTATGACATGTACTTACGCTTGTTTTACTTTTTAATTATTTAGATAAAAATCCCGGATGGGTACCAGATTGCTAGAGTTTGAAGAAGTTAGGCTTGTGATCAACCAGTCAGTTGTCCTTATAGAATTGAAGTCTTCACCCCAAGATTGGAGTTGTCTTTCAGCTGTTTGCTGTCTAAGGTTATATCCTTTATACTAAGTATGTTATATATTAAGCATTGTCTATTGATATTACCTCTATTTGTAGCTATATGTGAGATTTCACTCACTGGGCTCACATATGGTGTGTATTTGGTTTTATTTTTAAAACTGGGTGCTATAAAGTGGTATTAGAGCAATGCTGACTGTAGGACGCAAGTCTAGTAGAAACTAGTCGTTCTAATGTATAGAAGTTGCTACAAAAACCCTTGCTCTATGAACCTTGATATTTTCTTCTCTACTATATCTCTACCCTTGCTATTCATCTCTACCTTGATGCTTATTTTAAAGTCTTTGTTCTCATCTTCACTCCTTGATTTGATATGCTTTTAGAACTGTTCCTCACCACCTTCTTGCGTAATCTGAAGATGAGTCTTAGGATTGTTACCGCTAGTACAATGAGGACGATAGTATCGCAAGTTGAGTCAATGATTGAATTGTGCACCTTTATTGTTTTGTTGAATTATCATTATCTTATGCTTATTTTGAATCTTTGTAATGATTGCAATGATCTTGTTGGGTGTTCCCTTAATTTCATTTAGTTCATAGGCCTAAGGTATAAGGATTAATGAAATAAATAGTTGGGTTATAGTTTTCTTCTGTTTTCTCTATCCCGCCTTTTCGGAGCAGCCTGTCCTCTTTAGCTTATATCTCTGTCTTTGGACTACCAAAAATCATAGAAAAATTCTGTACAATAGTAGACTTCAACATCTTTCTCTGACCGCAAGAATCATCCTGATAGCTGTTATGTCTTGGGAGTTATGAAAATCACAAGGCGATAAATTAAT